TCAATAAACCTCCTAACCCTCTCTCTCTCGGTAGGGAGTATAACAAGAGCATGGCGAGCCAAATCAATAAACCTGGTCTCGTACTGGGTGACTGTCATGGATCCCTGTTGGAGACGCTCGAACTGTCTCCGATAGGCCTTTCGCTGTGTAATAGGGAGAAACTTCTCCCGAAATAGATGTATGAACTGCTCCCAGGTCAAGGCTGGAGATCCTGCTGGTCAAGCTAAACAATAATCCCTCCACCAAGTCTTGGCAGATCCAGACAACCGGAATGTAGCAAAATCAACCACATTGGTCTCAACAATACTCATTTTCCGAAGAACCTCGTGGCAGCTGTCCAAATAATCCTGAGGATCCTCGGTAGATGCACCGTTGAAAGTAGTAGTGAAGAGCTTGGTGAACCTATCCAATCTCCATAAAACATCGGCAGACATAGCTGCCCCATCATCGGCCTGGGCTACCACAGCCGGCTGAGCTACTCCAACTGGCTGAACTGCTGGAGTCTGAATCGGGGGAGCTACCTGCTCCGGAGTATGAGTAGCAGGAGTCTGGACTCCTCCTCCAGCCTGAGAAGTGGCTGCTACTACAGGAGGCAAGCCTGCACGGGTGACACTCTCCATGAGGCCCACCAATCGTACCAAAGCGTCCTGAAGAACTGGGGTAGCAATAAACCACTCTGGGACCTGAGCTGGGCCCACCGGAACTGTTGGGGCTGGGCCGGAACCTCCTCGTCAAAGTCAACCTGAGGCTCCGCCACTGGTGCTGCTGCTCGGGGCTGGGCTCTACGCCCACCTCGGCCTCTAACATGGCCTCGGCCTCGCCCTCTGCCCCTAGTGGGTGCTGCTGCTGGGGGCTCGGCCTGCTAAGCGGTAGATGAGGAAGCGCGTGTTCTCGCCATCTGCGAAAGAACATAGTAGAAATTCAATTAGCGTTGAGAAACCAAACCGCACGACAAGAAAGAACAAATGTGAAACTTTTCCTAAATAACAGGAGATAAATAACTTTTCCTAGAGTCCATAATACTTTTGTTTTAAAACCATGTTTACCAATTAAACTAACAGGAGATAAATAATTAAACAACAGCGGAATTCATAATTTAGCAGAAGACTTAAACTAAGTAAACCAATATAATAAGGAAAATCTATATATGCCTCTACCCAGGACTGGTGTCACAACATTCAGGGACTATTTAAGAGTGCTACATACAACTGTCTGAAACAAGGAATAAAGTCTGTCTCAGATACAAAAGGGAAACAAATCATAAATAAAGATAGAGGAGATGTCGGGCCTGCGGACGCCTGTAGGACTACTCGGGAATCTCGGACTGAAGGATAGCTCCCAATCTACTGCTGATGACCAAAAGCTACTCCGGGACCTGGATCTGTGCAAAAGAGCACAGAGTGTAGTATCAGCACAACCGACCCCATGTGCTGGTAAGTGCCTAGCCTAACCCCAGCGAAGTAGTGACGAGGCTAGGACCAGACTACATAATAAACCTGTATAGATATACCATATTTTGCAGAAAATAAACAAGAAATAAGCAGTTAAAAGGGGGGGAGGGGGGAGATACATGCCTTGGGGAAATAGTTCAACTTAGCGGAAACTAGACAAATGTGAAGGAACAGTATAGTATTTAAACCAAAATAATAACACTACTGTTGCGGCGCGCAACCCGATCCATAGGTATATAAACATAGCTGTTGTGGCGTGCAACCCGATCCAATAATATATATGTTGCGGCGTGCAATCCGATCTAATATAATATATGTTGCGGCGTGCAAACCGATCCAATATAATATATATGCTGCGGCATGCAACCCGATCCATATATGTATATATAAATAAAAATGTTGCGGCGCGCAACCCGTTCCAAATATACCGCTCCCAGTAATCATGACAAAAATTCCGGCAAGGGATTAACCATAAAAATACTCTATCCCGGCAAGGGAACTCAACAGTACAAGTATATTCCTCCCGACAAGGGAGAACCAGCTATAACCAATCTCAATTCAACTTCTAATTATCTCCGTTATCACCATTTCCAACTCATGAATACTCCTATGAAAATAAGCTAATCCTTTACTCAATATCACGGATCTATTCACTATTTCAACCATAGTATTATTCAAGAATACAACAAAATATCAATTTAAGACTCATGGTCATGCTCGACACCGACGTATATATACTCGTCACCATGCCTATACGTCGTACTCCACAAGAAACACATAGCAAATATGACTCAACTCCTAATCCCTCAAGCTAAGGTTACATCAAACACTTACCTCGATGCCTTGAACACAACTCAAGCCTCAATTATAGCTTTACCCCTCGATTCCACCGCCAATTCGCTCGAATCTAGCCACAAGTTACTTAATTACATCAATAAGTGCTAAATGAATCGGCCCCAATGCATGAAAATGAGTTTTCCAAAGTTTTACCCAAAAAGTCCAAAATAGCCCCCGGGCCCACGTGGCCAAAACCCGATGTTCGAACCAAAACCCGGCTACCCATTCCCCCACGAACCCAAATATATGATTTGTTTTGAAATCGGACCTCAAATTAAGGTCCAAATCCCCAATTTTTAGAAAAAACCTAAGTTGTACCCAAAACCCCCAATTCTCCCATGGAAATCTTTGATTTTTAAGTTGAAAACATGTTAAATGATGTTAATGATTGAAAGGAATGAGTAAAAACTAACTTACAATTGATTTGGAAGAAAACTTGTTCTTGAAAAATCGCCCAAAGAAGTTTGTGTGTTGAAAGAATGTTAAAAATGGTTAAAAATTCGGCTAAGTGTGAAATATGCGGGTTGCAGATATGGGAATTGCGAACAGGGGTTCGCAATTGCGAACCCCGACCTGCCATGGGAATTGCGAACTGAAGTTCGCATTTGCGAACACTGAACGAAAATGAGGAGTTCGCATTTGCGACAAAGATGTCACATTTGCGATATACCAAGCTTCGCATTTGCGAGCCAAAACGTCGCATTTGCGACAGGCTCAACTTCGCATTTGCGGACCTAATGGTCGCATTTGCGACCCAGCTGCAGGATTCCCCTTTTCGCATTTGCGATGACAGGCTCGCATTTGCGAGACCTTCTTCGCAAATGCGAAAATTGCAGAACTGATGATACCTGATTTTCTCAAAGGTTAAAAAAATGCATCCGTGGCCTATCCAAAACTCACCTGAGCCCTCGGGGCCTCCAAACCAAATATGCACACAACCTCAAAAACATCCTATGGACTTATTCGCGCGACCAAATCGCCAAAATAACATCATAAACATCGAATTAAACCCCAATCCAAGAATTCTTTCAAACTTCATAAAATCTCAAATTTGCCAACTTAGGTCCAAAATCACATCAAATGACGTCCTTTTCAACCAAATTTCACAGGAAGGACTTAAAATATACATAAGACCTGTACCGGGCGCCAGAACCAAAATACGGGCCCGATACCATCGCTTTCTAATTAGATTTCATTTCCAATTTCCTTAATAATTCAGAAAACAATGTTACAAAAAATTCAGTTTCTCGGGCTTGGGACCTCGAAATTCGATTCCGAGCATATGCCCAAGTCCCATATTTTCCTACGGACCCTCCGGGACCGTCAAATCACGGGTCCGGGTCCGTTTACCCAAAATGTTGATCGAGGTCAAATTTATTCATTAACATCAAAATTAGCATTTTTCATCAGAATTTTACATGTTAAGTTTTCCGGCTATGCGCCGACTGCGCACGCAAATCGCGGCGACTCTAAACGAGGTTTTCAAGGCCTCGGAAGCACAGGATTTATTTAAAATAGGTGATGACCCTTTGGGTCGTCACAGGCGGATATTCTGGTTATTAGGATTCTTCCAGTGCTCACTTCAGCACTGTGCTAGAGAGTTCCTATCGCCCACCGGCCATCCAGGGTTCTTCTAGTGGCTATTCGGGTCAGCAGGCTCAGACTCCAGGGCAGCAGGCTATGGTACCGAGAGTGTGCTACGAGTGTGGAGATCCGGGTCATTTGAAGAGGACCTGCCCCAAGCTTCGGGGCAAGGCAGTACAGCAGGGTCAGCAGCCCATGATTTCAGCACCAGCTGCCCAGCCACCTAGAGGTGGAGGGCAGGCTGGTCGGGGCCGACCTGGAGGTGGAGGTCAGATAGGGAGAGGTCAGCCAGCTACTGCTCAGTCAGGCGGAGGCCAGCCAGCCGACGCTCCAGCTAGATTCTATGCTCTTCCACCCAGGCTAGATGCATTGGCCTTAGATGCCGTCATCACAGGTATTATTCCCGTCTGCGGTAGAGATGCATTGGTATTATTTGATCTGGGGTCCACCTATTCCTATGTATCATCACTGTTTGCTCGATTCTTGGTTATTCCTCCTGCACCTTTGGGCACTCCTGTTTATGTGTCCACTCCTGTGGGCGATTCCGTGGTTGTAGACCGAGTCTAACGGTCCTGTGTGGTTACATTCTATAATTTCGAGACTAGAGCGGATCTCCTGTTGCTGGATATGATTGATTTTGAGGTCATCCTGTGCATGGATTGGTTGTCTCCATATCACACTGTCCTAGATTGCCATGCCAAGACTGTTTCTCTAGTGATGCCAGGGTTGCCGAGGTTTGAGTGGAAGGGTTCCACCGTTGATACCCCCAGTAGGGTTATTTCCTTCTTGAAGGCTCGGCGTATGGTCGAGAAGGGATGTTTGGCCTATCTAGCTTATGTTCGTGACACCACTACAGAGTCTCTGACGATTGATTCAGTTCCCGTAGTCCGAGAGTTCGCCGATGTGTTTCCTTCTGATCTTTCTGGCATGCCATCGGATCGTGATATTGATTTCTGTATCGATATGGTTCCAGGCACCCAGCCTATATCTATTCCACCGTACCGCATGGCTCCTAAGGAGTTGAAGGAGCAGCTTGAGGAGTTGTTGGCAAAGGGGTTTATTAGACCCAGTGTATCGCCCTGGGGTGCACCGGTGTTATTTGTGAAGAAGAAGGATGGGACTATGCGGATGTGCATTGACTACCGCCAGTTGAACAAAGTCACCATCAAGAACAAGTATCCGTTGCCTCGTATCGATGATTTGTTCGACCAGCTACAGGGTGTGAGGGTGTTCTCTAAGATAGACTTGAGGTCGGGGTACCATCAGCTGAAGATTCGGGACTCGGATGTTCCAAAGACTGCAATCCGGACTAGATATGGCCATTATGAGTTTCCGATGATGTCCTTTGGCTTGACTAATGCCCCAGCGGCATTTATGGATTTGATGAACAGGGTGTTCAGGCCTTATATTGATTCCTTCGTCACCGTCTTCATTGATGACATCTTGATATACTCATGTAGCTTGGGGGAGCACGAGCAGCATCTGAGAGTAGTGTTTCAGACCTTGCGAGAGCAGAAGCTATATGCTAAGTTCTCCAAGTGTGAGTTTTGGCTAGAGTCTGTGGCATTCTTGGGACATATTGTGTCAGGAGAGGGTATTAAGGTAGACCCCAAGAAGATTGAGGCAGTTCAGAGTTGGCCACGCCCCACCTCAGTGATCGAGATCAGGAGTTTCCTGGGGTTAGCAGGTTATTACAGGCGGTTCGTGCAGGGCTTTTCATCTATTGCATCGCCTCTGACTAGATTGACCCAGAAGGGTGCTCCTTTCCATTGGTCCGATGATTGCGTGGCGAGCTTCCAGAAGCTCAAGACAGCCTTGACTACAAAGCCAGTCCTTGTGTTGCCTTCCGGTTCAGGGATGTATTCAGTGTATTGTGACGCTTCGCGCGTTGGCTTGGGTTGTGTATTGATGCAGGAGGGGCGAGTTATTGCATATGCCTCCCGTCGGCTGAAGATTCATGAGAAGAATTATCATGTGCACGATCTGGAGTTGGCGGCGATTGTTCATGCTCTTAAGATATGGAGGCACTACCTGTACGGGGCTTCATGTGAGGTTTATACCGATCATCGCAGCTTGCAGCATTTGTTCAAGCAGAGGGATCTTAATTTGAGGCAGCGCAGGTGGCTTGAGTTACTAAAGGATTATGACATCACCATTCTTTATCATCCGGGCAAGGCAAATGTGGTCGCTGATGCCTTGGGAAAAAAGGCTGAGAGTATGGGTAGTTTGGCATTCATTCCAGCAGGGGAGAGGCCACTAGCTTTGGACATTCAGTCCTTGGCTAGCAGACTAGTGAGGTTGGACATTTCGGAGCCCAGCCGGGTTCTTGCGTGTATGGTTGCTCAGTCTTTACTACTAGGGGAGATAAAGGCCCGACAGTTCGATGATCCATATTTGGCAGTTCTCAGAGAGATGGTGCCTCAGGGAGGTGCCAAGGAAGTTTCTATTGGTGAGGATGGTGTTTTGCAACTTCAGGGTCGTCTGTGTGTTCCTAATGTTGATGGTCTGAGGGAGAGGATACTAGAGGAGGCACACAGTTCGCGGTATTCCATCCACCCGGGGGCTACGAAGATGTATCGTGACTTGAGGCATCATTACTGGTGGCGGAGGATGAAGAAAGACATAGTGGAGTATGTGGCTAGGTGTTTGAATTGCCAGCAGGTCAAGTATGAACATAAGAGATCGGGTGGCCTACTTCAGCAGATGCCTATACCAGAGTGGAAGTGGGAGCGCATTACCATGGATTTCGTAGTTGGGTTGCCGCGGACCTTGCGGAAGTTTGATTCAGTATGGGTCATCGTTGATAGGTTGACCAAGTCGGCCCACTTCATTCCAGTGGCTACTACTTATACAGCAAAGAGGTATGCTCAGATTTATATTCGGGAGATAGTCCGATTGCACGGTGTGCCTGTTTCCATTATATCCGACAGAGGCCCTCAGTTCACTTCTCATTTCTGGAGAGCCGTTCAGAGTGAGTTGGGGACTCGGGTAGGGCTTAGCACAACATTCTATCCTCAGACCGATGGGCAGTCGGAGCGGACAGTACAGATTTTAGAGGATATGCTTAGAGCATGTGTGATTGACTTTGGAGGGCAATGGGACCAGTTCTTACCCTTGGCGGAGTTTGCATATAACAACAACTATCAGTCCAGCATTGAGATGGCTCCATACGAGGCTCTATATGGTCGTCGTTGTCGTTCTCCTATCGGATGGTTCGAGCCTGGTGAGGCTAAGTTGTATGGTACAGACTTGGTACAGGAGGCCTTAGATAAGGTGAAGTTGATTCAGGAGAGGCTTCGCACAGCTCAGTCCAGGCAGAAGACTTACGCGGATCAGAAGGCGCGTGATGTATCATTTATGGTTGGCGAGAAGGTTCTCTTGAAAGTCTCGCCCATGAAAGGCATCATGAGGTTCGGGAAGAAGGGCAAGTTGAGTCCAAGGTTTATTGGCCCCTTGAGGTGTTGAGAGGAGTTGGGGAGGTTGCCTATGAGCTTGCATTACCCCCCCAGCTTGTCGGGAGTTCATCCGGTTTTCCATGTGTCAATGCTTCGGAAGTATCATGCCGACTTTTCCCATGTGTTAGACTTCAGTACTATTCAGCTGGATGAGAGCTTGGGTTATGAGGAGCAGCCTGTTGCCATCATTGATAGGCAGGATCGCCAGTTGAAATCCAAGAGGATTTCTGTAGTAAAGGTTCAATGGAGGGGCCAACCAGCCGAAGAGGCGACCTGGGAGTCCGAGGAGGACATGCGGAGCAGATATCCCCATTTATTCAGCAGCTCAGGTACTTTTCTATGCCCGTTCGAGGATGAACGTTTGTTTAAGAGGTGGAGAATGTAACGACCCGCTTGGTCGTTTTGCATTTTTGAACCCCGTTCCCTCAAATAAAACTTACTGCGCTTTCTTTAGCTAATTTATGACTTGCAGCGACGGTTGATTCGAGATTTGGAAGAGTTTTGGGTGAAATATGCCCATGTGATTCCTTAGGATTTTCTTAAAAGACTAAGTTTGACTTTGATCAACATTTTGAGCAAATGGGCCCTGATTTGTGATTTGACAGTCCCGGAGGGTCCGTAGGAAAATATGGGACCTGGGCGTATGCCTGGAATCGAATTCCGAGGTCCCTAGCCCGAGTAATGAATTTTTATTTGAAATTGTTAATTTGAAATATTAAGGATTTAAATAAACTAAGTAATGATTTATCACGTTGGTATCGGGCCCGTATGTTAGTTCCAGAGCCCGGTACAGGTCCAATATAATATTGTAGACTTGTCTGTGAAATTTGGTGAGAAACGGGACTGATTTGACGTGATTCGGACGTCCGGTTGTAAAGATAGGAATTTGGATGTTCTTAAGGATTTTATGCGTTTAGGTGTTGAATCCGTGGGTTTAGGTGTTATTTCAGCGATTTGATCGCTCGAGCAAGTTGGTACAATGTTGCTGGACTTGTGGGAGCATTCAGAGTGGAGCCCCGAGGGCTCGTGTGAGTTTCGGGCATGGGTTTGGAATAGATCAACACACCAGTTTTCTGGTGTTTTTGCTGCTGCTGTAGGTTTCGCAATTGCGAGACCTTGATCGCAATTGCGATCTCGCAATTGCAAAGGTAATATTGCATTTGCGATGAGGCTGGCTGGGGGCAGTGGTCGCATTTGCGACTTTTGCTTCGCATTTGCGAACCAGCAGGGTCCGCATTTGCGACCCCTCTATCGCAATTGCGATCAAGGCAGAGGGAGACCCAGTTCGCATTTGCGAACATATTGTCGCAATTGCGACTTCGCAATTGCGAGCCTGGTGTCGCAAATGCGACATCAGAGACCTAGACACGGCTTTTAAAAACGGGACTTAGGCCATTTATTTCATTTTGTCTCTACACTTGAGCGATTTGGGAGCTTTCAAAGAGGAGATTTCAACATAGCATCGTGAGGTAAGGTATTTCTACTTAATGCAACTTTAATATTCGAATTTTGGGTAGATTAACACCTAAAGATTTGGAGAAATCAAAGGGGTTAGAGCTAAACCTAGGGTTTTAATAAAACTTGGATTTAACCACGAAATTTGTTATGGAATTAATTGGAAATCATATATTAGTGATCCTTAGGTTGTAGAGAACAACTTCCTTCGAAAAATTTCGGAATCCGTGCACGTGGGCCCGGGGTCGGATTTTGGAAAACTTGTGTTAATAGTTGGAAAATTGCTTAAATAGCTAGAATTCGATCTTATGAGTCTATATTAACTAGTTCTTACTTCGTTTAATTAGTTTGGGATCGTTCGGCTCCGAATTGAGGGCTTGGACTTGTTCTTGGCATTTGGAGTACACTTTGGAGCGAGGTGAGTCTCCTTTCTAACCTTGTAAGAGGGAATTGTCCCCATAGGTATAATAATTGAATTAAATGCTAATATTTGTGGGGGCTACGTACGCACTAGGTGACAAGAGTTCGTGCGTAGCGACTATTATGTTAAGTTCGGGTAGTCTAGGACCCATAAGCATGCTCTACGTGAGATTCTTTTATCTTGATGATAACTTCGGATTCGTATAAACTATTTTGATTAAGGTAAATGTGACTAATGAAGGAACCTTATCCTGTTTGGTCTTTTAAACGAGAATATTAGGTATCCCCGTGAATAACTACTCCTCAGATATATATATTGTTGTTGGCTTGTTGATGAGTTTACATATATTTGACCGCGTCGCATGGGTGATTTGCGAGCGGGGTAATAGATGCATCTATGGTTCGAGCCGTTAGACCCTCGGCAGTGCACAATTTATTTTTATGTTGGATCGGGCTGTACGTCCCACGGTGTCACTTGAATATGTTTTCTTTAGCGTTTCTCTGAGGACTGAATTTCATACCTACTTGAAATATAGGTGACTATCCATGAAAATACTTGGGGGAAGAACCGTTATGCCATGATCTTTTCAAATGCTATTTACTTGTTCTATCCATGCTATATATAAATTCTTCTCACATTATTTGACCCTAGTGAGTATCAAGTCGACCTCTCGTCTCTACTTCTTCGAGATTAGACGAGATACTTACTGGGTACATATTATTTATGTACTCATACTACACTTCTGTACTTAATTGTACAGAGTTTGAGGCAGGTATATCTGGCTATCAGTCGGGTGCGCATCTTTAAGCGGATTTCGAGACTTCTACGGTGAGCTGCTTCTCCTCCATGCCGTTCAGTAGCCTGAAGAAGTCTTCCTTTGTATTTTGCTGTCTATTCCGTTTCGGACAGTAGGATAGTGTGATTCTTTTGTATATTCTACTAGTTGCCCATGCTTGTGACACCAGGTCTTGGCACGCACACATTAGTAGACTGTATTATTTTGGGGTTTTATGATTTCCATGATTTCTATTCATCGTTTTCTAAATTTTCTCTCCAATTTAAAGAATTATTTTCAACTACTTTGGGGTAAAGGTGACCGAAGGTTTAACTAGTATTTTTCCACGCTGCCTTGCCCAACAGTGGCGTTGGGCATCATCACGACCTGCTATGGAATTGGATCGTGGCACTGTTGTTCTCTCACTATCGTTCGCTTCGATTTTTTCAGTATCTTGCTAGTCCTGAGCCGAGGTCTATCAGAAACAGTCTCTCTACCTTTTAAGGGTAAGGTCTGCGTACACACTACCCTCCCCAGACCCCACTTGTGAGATCCAACTGGATTGTTGTTGTTATTGTTGACGTTGACTCATGGCCAAAGTCAACGACTTGCTGCGTTTTTCTTTCCTGAACTCTCTATTTTCCAATTAAGAAAAAACCTCATATTTCTAGACATAATTAAGTTGCATAAAGAACTACGATGAATCTAGAACCGACTGATTACTAGTTGCTAATAATTAATATTATTTGTACTATCAATATATAAAACTTAAATCCATAAAATAAAAGGAGAAGTACAGCCAACGACCAAGTGTTACCACCCCTAAGTCCTCTTTCCTCAAGGGCGTACGCATGATTTTTCATAAGTGGTGTCGATATTTCGAAGAGTAGAACAAATGAACAAATAAAGAAAATCATATTTAAAAAAATATAATTCAAATTATATTAATAAAACATAATTCAAAACTACAATTCACCTCAACAAATTCTCATTCTTGAAAATGTATTCATAAGTTCAATTCTTTTTGACTTGTATTTTTTTAAAATGATAAATTTGAAATTCCAAGATGTAAGAGAACATCATGGTTCGAACTCATAACCTGAATGAGGGTTTTGAGGCGTTCATCCACTACGCTAAGCCACATTAGTTGTCAAGCTCTGTCAATTTAATTATATGTAGAAGTTTACTGTTTTCTTGTATATTTTATAATATATTAATAATTAGTAAAAAAAATTGACCAAGTGGTGTCGGATAACACCGCTTGAACTAAGGTAGGTACGCCCCTGACCTCAGTCAATGAAAAGGATAACACTGTTAGTTGAATTCTCCACATATAATAGTTTATTTTAAAAAATATGTTTCCTACATTAATTGCTCCTTGGTTAAAAGGTGGTGTTGTCACTATTATAAATTAATAAAATTACAGAACCCCTAGGGATATTATTTAAGAAGTTTCAAGGGAAGCACCAAAAATTTGCCCCTTCCATTTGTTTTCAACTTGATTATGTTAATGTGACTAAAGGTGCCCTACTTTAGCAAAGTTAAGGGATTAAAGATGTTTTAGGTTATATTTGACGGACAAAAATGAACCCACTCCCATAGGTAAGGGATAATTTTAGTCAAAAACTCATGTAAAACGGATAAATCATCCGACCTGACCCATATTTAATACGAATAAAAAACGAGTTAACCGGCGGATAATATGAATATCCATATGATCCATGACTTCATGAATATGATCACTTTTGGGAGAATTTTTAGTCTCCCAAACTTGAGAAACTCCCAATTTGAAGCTTTATAAATGTCAAAGTTAAACCCGTTAGTTTTTTATTGGTTAACTATTTTCTAAATGGATAATATGGTTCGTATCCATATTTGACCCGTTTTTAAAAAATTCATTATTCAACCCATTTTTTAGTGGATAATATGGGTGGATACCTATTTTCTTTTATTTATTTTGCCACCACTACGAGGAACCAAGAACTTAGATTTAGCTTCTATATCATACCATTTAAGAATATATCACATTAATAAGTAGTTTATATTTATCTTATCAACTTCTAATGTAAAATTTTATTCGCACATCATAGAGGTACGAAACATTCATTCACTTAAAATATAAAATTAACAAGACTCTTGAATCTATGACAGGGGAGACTGGCCTTCCGTGCTGAAATGTCTAGCGGAAATAAATTTATCCACATTTAATATTTACTTCAACCCAATCCAATTTATACATGACACAATCTTTTAATGCATTATTCACACTTATTATAGTTGATTAGTATTAGTATCCGTGCAGATGTGCGGACGTTGATTATGTCAAATTATGATCTAAGTTATTTGGCTTATGTGTAAATAATTTTAAAATTTAAACCTTCTACATAAATATAGATAATCATGGGAAATTAATAAAGAAACAATACATGCTCACCCAACTGCTTAATGATAACAACAACAACAACAACAACAATAACAACAAGCCCAGTAACTTTCCACAGGTGGGGGTCTGAGGAGGGTGCAACCTTACCCCTACCTAGAAGGACAGAGAGGTTGTTTTCAATAGACCCTCAACTGGAGAACAGATGACAAAAGTAATGGCAACAGAAGGAACAACAATAATTAGTGTATCATATATGTATATGAGCTATAAAAGATAAACACTAAATTCGACTGCATATTTTATATAAATATTTTCTAAGAGTCAGTGACCTGATTTTATACACGATATGATTTCTCTTATAATAATTTAAAAAATCATTATTAAAATTCAGAAATGTCTTATTCTTTTATTTTTAAAAGGGCACTATATTCTAAAAAATTTCCATTTCGAAATAATTTTTTTTTATATTTAAAAAAAATATTTCACTTCACACCAAATATTTTTTAAAAATATACTTTTTGTTAAAATTAAAAATTAATTTAGAAAACTATCAATTAAAACTAATATCTCTCTCGTTGAAATTCAAGAAGAAAAACTTTTCTTATAATCTAATGAATCAAAATTAATATTCTTAAATAAAAATAAATTATATTCTTTATCAATGAATATGATTCTAATATTATATATACCGTATCATTATGGTAAATTTGTAAGAAATTCCTTCATCTGATCTAGATACTTTCTTAACTTTAAAATATTTAGTTTTTAATTCAAACTTATAGCTAAACTTTAGATGATATTTTTTTTAATTTGAAATATTTATCCACACTTAATATTTACTTCAACCGAATCCAATCAATACATAATACAATCTTTTAATGTATTATTCGCACTTATTATAGTTGATTAGTACACCTTTTTGCTTTAATATTAATACTTAGATCATAATAAATTAGTTTAAACAGTAAGAGTGGATAAATTTCCTTACTAACCATAGTCATCCCCTAGAGGACTAGAGTCATTGGAGAAATTCAAAATAGTCAGATTTACAATTGGTCATTCAAAAATAGCCACAGTTTCAAAAATAATCGAAACTTAGCCACTTTTCATGTAAAAATAAATCTGAACAAAAACACTTTTCAAAATTCGAAAAATACTCTAGTATAATACACCGGAGTTCTAGTATAACTCTAATATATTGTACTGGAGTTCCATCGTAAGTATACTGAAACTTCAATATATTATACTGGAGTTCCAGTATAATATATTGGACTTCCAGTATGTATAATATACCGGTCCAACATAATATGCTGGAAGTTCATACACAGGTGCTCCAATTTTCAGTATATTATGCTGGAGCTTTATGCGTGTTGGAGTTCCAGCATAATATGCTGGAAGTTCATGCACAGGTGCACCAATCTCCAGCATATTATGCTGAAACTTTTCGTGTTGCAGCAAAGTAATGACTATTTTTTAATGACTTTGCAAATGCTGACTATTTTTGAATGCAGTTCGAAAACTGGCTAGCCCGTGCTTTTTTTACACGTGAGCTAGTATGGGCTTTATATATACACTAAAACATCCAGAATGGATCAATTCACTCTAGCATAAATTCTACATTTATTCTTGTTTTCTACGTTTTTGTCCTCATCCTATGACCTTTTCCCTTTTAGTAAAAAAATAAAAATAAAAGGATCACTAAGTTCCAAAGAATTTATGTCCTGTTTTTTTAGCGGCAACAAGGTGTACATATTCCGCCCTTTACCTGACCTTCTAATTTTCTATCTAACCCACTCCTACCAAGACCCAAAATAGAATAAAATTATGAAGTAAATAAAATAAAAAAGAAGCTGGACCGAAATTAACTTTTATGAAACTTGTGGTTGCCTTGTTGTAATTTCCAAGAATGTTTCTTCTTCAACAGGAGAATCCATCTCTCTCAAACTTGCAATTTAAAGACTAGTCCTAAAATTCTCTGTAACCTCCACAATCAGTCCCCAAGCATTATCCAAATTCACCATCATCATTTTTTGCTCTCTAAATCTCAATTTCCCTATTTGAATTTGTCTTATTGTAAAGCAGTTTGCTTCTTGGAAACTGCCTGAATTTCTAACAACTCAAAAAAAGAAATCAAACAGTGAAACCCAAAAAGACCTTTTTTGGTACTTCACAATTACAGGACCTATGGTTAGTTGAACTCCACTTCAAGATTAGATCTTGTAAGTTATTTGGTCTATTTCTAAATTCTCCATTTGGGTGTTTAGGAATTTTTGTGGAATTTCTAATTAAATGTGAAAAAGATCAGTTCTTTATAGTTATAGCACTGTTGTAAGCTGTCCTGTTACTTTGGATTTTTTGATTTTTTGGTCAAGTTTTGTACTCTCTATTTCTATTTCGGTTTCTGGGAAATTTGTGGAATTTGAAATTAAAAGTGAAAAAAGACCAGTTCTTTGTTGCTACAATAGGGCTATTTGGCTTTTTAAAAGATTCTATCCATGTTTTTTAGTGTTCTGTTACTTGGGTTTTTATTCATGGAGTGTTTTAAGTTATTTGCTCAATATCTGTACTCTCTATTTGGGTTCTCTAGGAAATTTGTGGAATTTCACAGAAACAGTGAACAAGAATAGTTCTTGGTTGCTATAACAGGGTTACTGATTTTCTTTAAATTTTATCCCTTTTTTTAACTGCTTTGCTACTTGTGTTTTCAGTATGGAGCATTGTAATTTAGGGGTTTCATTTCTTTTCTCTTTTGAGATAAATCCTGTTTTCTCTTTCGGTTGATGTCGAATTGCCAAAAAAAAAAAGCAGCTTTAATAATGTAACTTTGAAGATGCTACTATAATCTATTGAATAAATGAGGGCATTACCGCCTAATGTTTGCTAGATTATCGTGAAGGTGGGTTCTGTTATGAATTCTGAGGATGTGTCTGTTTCTGAATTTGATGTATATACTTTTTCGTTTGTTGGGGTTGTTGGCAGGTGGTGTGAGATTAGCTTGTAAATGATGTCGAGACCAATACTGCTTGTTTTTCTGTTGATTGTACTCATAATCACATCTCAGTTGGAATGGAAGCAGCAATTGGTGAGTGATGTCGAACCGAGTCCTAGTATATCTCAGAAGCAACAACAGATTTCAAATAGAGAAGAAGCTGTTAAAGAAAAGGTAATCATGTGGTCATGTTTTTGTTGCATATTGTGTGATTCTCTTGAATTAATTGTTTAGGTTCTTATTGCTTATGGTTAATTATGGGAGCTTGGAAGATTGGTATTTAAATAAGTCATTGTATCTTGCTGAAGAACATTTGCATCATTAATTGCGCAACTGATATTTCTCTGACTGATAGTGAAAAACGGACATGATATGCATTGGATATCTTAATTAGACTTCCTAGTTACAAAATTGGAAATATCATAGTTTTATGTTACTGCACTTGTTGACCTCTTGCATCTTTTTTCCTTTTTATTTTTTTTATTTTTCTTTCTATTGTTTCTTATACAGGTTGATTTTAAAGTCCTTTTCACTTTGATACTTTATTTGTAGACTCTGCATTAATTAGGAGTAAGAAAGTTAAAGGGATTCTGCAGTTGACTAAGGTTTTAAACTTATTGGAAAAAAGTCATAGCAACAAGAAGGAGATATGGAGCCTACAGTGTCTAGAATTCGTAATGTGGTTAGGACTCGCCTAGTTGGAGATAATATCATGGACCCAAAAGGATCATTTGGTTTGTGCAAGACGAATGAATGGGATTGTATTTAGTTTTGATAGCTTCGTATGTTGTTATAGAACCAGCTGTCTTCATATTATTCTTTCCTTCGGCTGGACATAGTCTTTCCACTAGATCCTTCTAATAACCTAAGAATGGAAGAACCGAGTTAATCTATATGGGAGTGAGAAATGAAGACCAATATTCAAAATATCTCTTACCAATTTTCAACGCTTCAAGCACATCAAATGCCATGAAATTCTTATAAGACTCAACCAAAACACATGATCACTTTGTTTTGACCTTACTGTAAAGTGTAAGGTATGCTTTACACTAAATTTTTGATTACCTCACTTTCAGTGATCTCTGCCTCTGTTTTTTGTGCGTAGGGCGAGTGTAGTATTCTAGTGTTGGGTTCAATTGAACCCATAACTTTTGTCGTAGAGTATGAAAAATTGCAAAAATAGTAGATATGAACCCATAACTTTAAAAATATAATGAGTTCAATGTTAAAAACCTTAAATATTGAACTCATAGAGTTTAAATTATATCTATGTTAAATATGCGTTGTCACTCCTAGATTATAGTGGCTTTGGTGAACGATAGTAGGGTATGGTCTTGTCTCGGGGGTGTCAGGCGGGGGGGGGGGGGGGGGGGGTTAGGGAGA